TCATATTTTTAAAAACGAATCCAGGCCTATTCGACTGCAGATAATGCCTCTTTCCATTGCCTCCAATTATTCCCAGCTTAGAAAGCACTTTCTCAAGATCCTCTCCATAGCTCAGAGAGGTGTAATTTGTCATTTCAGAGTTAAGGTTAAAGGGAGGATCAGAGGAGGAGAAGGGACTTGCCCCAGGTCACTCAATCAGTGGCAGAACTGAAATTCAAACCCAGACTTCAAGGACCAGAGGGCCTCATCCTCTGAGGCCCTCCCAATAAGATGTCCCACAACAGGAAAACGGACGATGAAGGAGCCTGTCCTATAACCCAGAGCGGGCAGGTTCCGGAGGAATTACTCGTCATGGACACCAGGTGGCGCCCATGTATAGAGTGGTTACCCCAGGCTGCCGGCCCTCGGGAAGGAACGCAAAACGTTTGTCAAAAGTCAAACTTTGAACAGCCCGTTTAATTTGTTCTCAACTGTCCTGCTTTTGCTTCCTTGGCCATTGCTCTTTGGACTTGACTAGAAAAAGTCTTTTCCTCCTGGGTAGGGAAGCACCCAGGTCTCCACACCTCCTGTGTGTTTCTCCTTTATTTAGGTATAGAACACTTCTGGAACTTCCGGTTACCAAATGTGTGGTTTCCCTCCCCCCCCCCACCCCCCCACTCCAAGCAATTCTCCATGACACCAGCTGGGTGGCCTACAGGTTCACTAAGTTTGACCCTATGTGCCGGGAGATCCCACAGGTGAAGGGCTCGATTGTGCCCACCCCACTTCGCACGATCATGTTGACTCATTTCATTCGCTCAATAGCCCTACGAGATCATTTCTGTTACGATCCCCACTTGATAGAGGAGCAAACAAAGCAAGAAGAGTTATTTGCCTAAAGTCACAGAGTTAGTCAGTAGCAGGCCTGGGATTCAAAGCCCTCACTCCTAATCACTATATAACCCCTATGTATCGATGGGGATGATGAATAAAGAGACGTGGTAGGAGGAGGCAGAGGAGGAGGAGGAGAAAAGAAAGCTCCCTGGCGCTAACAACCTCCAACGTGTCCAGGGGTCAAAATCTGAGCGGACCCATCAGATTCCCTCTGTGCAGACTCTGCCGTAGAGAGATAGCGGAGGGCGAAACCTTTTGCCGTTGGGAGTGGAGACCGAAAAGATGCAAAGACCAGAAAGTAAAGCCCAGGCATAGTTACGGGAAGCTGAAGCCACGAGGTAGGTCAGAACAATCCCGAGGCCCCCACCCAGAAGCTCTGATTCAGCAGGCTGGGTGGGACCCAGGTGTCAGCATTTCTAATGGGTGCCTGGGGACCTTCCCACGAGGGACTGACGGGACCCACTCTGGCAAGGCGAGTAGCAGGTCTGTGGAAGGAGAATGAACTGGTGTTTGATGGGGTGGTACTCCCTCCCCTATGCTTCCCACATTTCCCAGCCTTTTGCTGGGGGCAGACCGCATGACTAATTCTGGCCAATGGGCTGTGGGCAGAAGGGACATACATCAATCACGTCTTGGCTAAAGTATCAAAGAGCCAGTGTGCGGCTCTCCAAATGTATCTTCCCTGCCGTGGCATCGGGTGACCTTCCAGTCGCTAGGTCCCCTGACCACCCTACACATGAGACGGGTGGGGTGAGCAAGAAGCGAACCTCGGTTGGGTTGAGGCCCCGAGATCTCAAGGTTTGCCTGTCACAGCCGCAGAGCTGAGCCCACCCGTCGGCACCACACTGTGACACCGCCGTGCTGGAGCCACAGAGTGAACTCTTGCACATCCAGACCTGTCCTTCACCTCCGAGCGTTCCTGCCCTTGGGCGGTGATGACATCCGACCTCTCCTATCATGCCACCTGTCTTTACTATAAGCCCCACCTGAGTTAGTGCCTCTGCCTGGCAGCCAGTGTGCCCAACCAGAAGACCCCCAGCCTTCCTGGTGTGGTGGCTTTAAGACATGTCTCCGGACTCGTCGACACCCTCCCACCAAGAGGTGGAGTGTAATTCTCTTTCTCTTGAGTAGGAGCTGGTCTTAGCGTCTGGGTCCTACCGCACAGAATGCAGTGCATGTGACACCGTGTGACTTCCAGAGCTACAGCAGAAAGGCTAGAGGGCTTCCCTCTGGGCTCCGTTTGGATGCTTGTTCTTGAAACCAGCTACCATGCTGGGAGGCCGTAGGGAGAGGTACCACGTAGGTATCTCAGCTGATAGCCCCCGCGAAGGTCCCAGGCAACAGCCAGCATCTGCTGCCAGACCCATGCCTTTGAGGTGAATGGGGCCACAGCCACCATGCGACAGCAACCACTTGAGGCACCGACAGCAAGAGTCGCCAGCTGAGCCCAGGCGATCCCCAGGAACATGGGAAACGCGATCTACTGTGACCATGACGGCTTGTTGCGATAAGAAAATGATTGCTGTTGTTTTACATTAGGGGGCAGATTAGTACACAACAGTATGCAGCCACCACACCCGGGCTCTGCAAGGTGTCACCCCTGGCCCAGGACTGGAAGCTCTGGCGTCACCGTAAAGGCGAGCCTCTTGCCATTTCTCATTTGTCGCAGTGTAAGTCCCGGGCCGCCTGCCCTAAGCCACTCTGGCTGTCACACCTTCAAAGGCTCTTCCCCCCGCTCCTCATTTTTTGGCTTCCAACCTCATCATCCTTTTTCACATTACCTCCTCTCCTCCCCCTTGGACGCGAGGCTTGGGTGTATACTCCTGTGTTGGCTGCGTTAGCCGAGAAAACCCTGGATTTTCCTTTCTGAGACCAGGATCCACATGCCTCCTCTGGTGCCTACCGTCTGTTTTGGAATACGTGATTTCCAGCCCAGCCCTCTAGGAGCCCACGCCGAAGACGCCACTTCCAGTCCAAGCCCTGATGCCCCAGCCACTGGACTCAGTCAGACTTTGCTCTGACCGGGGATCAGGAACTGAACGTCGGTTCCAGATGCGGGGTCTTGGAGAGCAACCAATACCCCAGCAGAGGGGGAGGCTCAGGGGCTCCAGGTCTGTCTTCCTCGACTGGTGGAGGGGCGGTTGCCAGGGGGTTTTGGTCTGGGGGCCCAGCTGTGGGAAGCCAGGAGAGGCAGAGGGCGCTGGTGGTTGGCCCTGGGCATGGCAGACCAGAGTCTTTCTACTTTAGAAAGACACACAGCCAGGCAGGTATCTTGCTCGATGATGCTTGCTAACAGGCTTGTCTCTCTGTGATAGTCAGAGTTTCACAAATCAGGACACAATCACACAACAGTAATGACAAGCTGCCGTTTACTAGCAGTGAGAACACCGCTGGGTACAGCGATTTCTGTGCATTATCTCATTTAGTCTGACAACCATCCTATGAGGTAGATACTATTATCGTCCCTTCTTTCTTTCAGATGAGGTAACTGAGGCTCAGAGAGGTTGAGTAACTAACTGAAAAAAGCAAGCCAATGGTGGAGCTGGAATGAGAACCCGGGTTAACACCCACATATGGAACCAGGAGCATGCAAGTTAAGATCCCAATGCCATACCATTTTGCACCCATTCTACTGACAGTGATGAAGAAGGTTGACAATACCAAGTGTTGGTGACAATGTGGAGCAACAGGGACTCTCAGACAGTGCTGTAGGAGTGTGAGTGGCCCCCACGGTGGAAAACACGTGTCTCATACCGAACCTCCAATTCAACCCTCCATTACACGCCCTGGAGAAACTCTCGTTCCCGTGGACCGAGGGACGTGAACACCAGTGATCCCAGCAGCACTGATGGGAATAGCCGGAACTGTGACAGCCAGAGCCAGGCAGGAGACAGAAGCCACCCCAGTTATTTTAAGGGAGAGATTTTAATACAGAGAATTGCTAACTAGGTATAAAGTTGTTAACTGGGTGACTAAAGGGTTATAAAAAGAACTCTAAGATATAATGAAGGTAGCGCTTGCAGGAAGCGTTTGCCGCCCCCAGGGCTGAGGGTAAAAAGAGAAGAGACTGAAGTTATTAAAATATAGAAACAGAGGAGGAGCCCTGGGGAGTAAACTTCAGATATTTGAGAAGGGAGCTCAGAAGGTTCAGATGAGGCAGGAACTCAGCTTTAGGGAAGGAGGCTCCGGGCCATCTGGAGCTGGTGTCTCTGGCTCTGGGGACAGGCCCCCCCCCCCCCAGGGTCAGGCTCTAGAGCCTTGAGAAGGGAATCTGTGTAGTGAGATAAATAAGCACTTCTGGCTGGGTAGTGCTCCCTGGAGCTGGGGCCCACAGGCAGCTACAGAGACCAGAGATGAAAAAGTAAGCTTTTTCTCTGTGCTCTAGCCCTGCAGTGTCTCTCCAGGCTCACCCTGCTTGCCGGCAAAGTCTAACAAAGTCCAACCCGGAGCGGCTGGTAACGCAGAGATGTGGTTTTCGGGGGCCCCACCCCCAGCATCACAGAACAGGGTTTTTTTTTTTTTAAGTATTTCTTTTTAGGGGCGCCTGGGTGATTTAAGCATCTGACTCTTGATTTCGGCTCAGCTCATGATCTTACGGGTCGTGGGTTTGAGCCCCACATGGAGCATGGAGCCTGCTTGGGATTCTCTCTCTCTCTCTCTCTCTCTCTCTCTCTCTCTCTCCCTTCTCTCTCTCTGCCCCTACCCTGCTCACACTCTATCTCTCTCAAAGTAAATAAATACACTTAAAAAATTTTTTTTAAGTATTTATTTTCAGTTGTGGTAAAATATAACATAAAAGTTGCCATTTTAACCATTTTTCAGGGTGCTGCTCGGTGACATCAAGTATATTCACAGTGTTATGGCCCCGCCACCACCACCATCCAACCATAGAACTTTTCTCATCTTGCAAAACTGAAACTGTGGACCCTTTAAACAATAACTCCCCGCTGTCCCTTCCCTAAGCTCCTGGCAGCCAATCTTCTACTCCCTGCCTCTATGGATTGACTATGCAAGGTGCCTCATACAAATGGGATCATACAGTGTCCTTCTGTGACTGGCTCATTTCACTTAGCATCATGTCTTCAAGGTTCACCCATGTTGTAGGACGTGCCAGAATCTCCTTCCTTTTCAAGGCTGATGGATATTCGATTTTAAGTACATACCACATTTTGTTTATCCTCTCAGCTGTGGGATAGAGAAGTATTTTTTTTTTTATATTATCAAACACTGTATTGTATTAAAATCCCAGGTTAGTCTGACTGTAAGCATTGTACATACAACACATCCCCCTTTGCCTCTGTATACAATGGCTTTACTTTTCCAAAGCCAGAAAAACAATATTCTAACAACATGCAAGTCGATTCTCAAAAATAAAAAGTCTTACCAATCATTGGACCATCGTAACACAAGGCCTTTTACATTTTCGCCCGTCTCATTTTTAAAGTCTTTCTTATAGGCAGATAGAACTTGTCAAAGTTATGACTCCAGCACCGCATACGACAGAGCGTTCTGTCACAGCCCAAACCTCGTTGTCTGAGGTTCCAGGACTGTTGCTGCCAACGCCGAGTGCGCAAAATGCCCTTTTCTTTAGCGTTTCTCTTTGCTTCTTTGAACATCTGGGTTGTATTCTTCAGGATCGTTTGGGTTGCACGTGAGGGCAGCCCTACTCAAGTCAGCTTAAGCAGAAACAAATCGGGTGTGCGTGGTGGAGGATGTGGTGGTGGAATTTCCTGGTTGTGTCACTGGAAAGAATGGAAGAGTAACTCACACAATCAGGGACTAAAAAGAGCCAGCGCCCTTCCTCTCTGTCCATCTGTCCTGTGGCCCTTCCTCTACCCCCCCCCCTTTTTTTTTTTCCTACTGAGGTCAAGTTTTCTTCACCTGGTAGGGAGAGCACATGGCCATTTGCAGCACTCCCCCGCCTTGCAACCGCAGTGGAAAGAACATCCAGATAGCGATCCCAGAGAAGGACTGTGATTGGCTCTGTTGAGTCACATGCCCTCCCGTTGGGCCAATCATGTTATTAGGGTGGTTATGAATTATTAGTGGCCAGGCCTGGCCATAGGCCCATCCCTGTGGCTGGAGTGGTGACTGGGCCTGTTGCTTTCAGAGGGAGGAATCTGAAGGCCCTCTGGGAAAACAGAAAACAACTATGGAGTCACTGTGGGGTGGGGGAGAGGGCACTAATTTTCGCCAGGGCAACAGCAAACATCCTCTGCGTGGAGATCTTCCTTTGTCTTGACAATCGCCTTATGAGAAATGCCCAAGGGTAGGATTACTGCTTGCCAGAGGCCACGAATCCACTGGTGTTCACACCCGATATCTTATTTGTGCCTCACCAAAAACCCTGATGAGCCACTGAAAAGGAACCAATGACACGGAGAAGTTGAGCGATGGGTTCAAGGACGCATAGCGGATGAGGGCAGAGAGGAACCCAGAGCCCTGGCTCCCCGACTCCCATTCCAGTGCTCTCTTCCAGCAACATCACAGTCAAAAGCTTGGACAAGCAGGGGGAGAGTTCAAGCCCGGCCTCAGGCCTGGCCAGTTAGTCAAGGGAGGGAGCTTCGCCGGCTGTCTGCCCCTTGGAGGAGCTGGGCCAACGCCTTGGAGGAGATGGAGGGGCAGCCCCGGCTTTCAGAGCCCGCTCGAGCTCTGATGGGGGACGTCCCTCTGCTGGACGTGGCATCGTCCCAGTGAGTACTCTTAGCATGCAGTTCCTCCAGGACCCTGTGAAGATGCCTCAGTGTGAGCAGCAGTCTCTGGTCCTGAACCTGCATCTCAGCCTAGGAGAGAGAATGAGGGTGAGGGGGCTGGGCAGTCCCCAGAAAGCCTGTTCCTGTCGCTGGCTCCCTGGACACAAACCCACAACCTCACAGGAGCCCTGTCCACCAAAGCCTCAGTTTCTTCACCTGCAAAGTGGAAGGCATTCGCTTCCCTTTCAAGGCTCTCAGGAGGACTGAATGCGTTTGCCTGTGCTCTAAAATGAAACGTGCTCAACTAACTACCAAGCTCTGTGAGAACCTTCATCATCATCATGGTTAAAAAAAAAATTTTTTTTTTAATGTTTATTTATTTTTGAGAGAGAGAGCATGAGTGGGGGAGGAGCAGAGAGAGAGAGAGGGAGGCACAGAATCGGAAGCAGGCTCCAGGCTCTGAGCTGTCAGCACAGAGCCTGACACGGGGCTCGAACTCACCAGCTGTGAGATCATGACCTGAGCTGAAGTCGGATGCTCAACTGACTGAGCCACCCAGGCGCCCCAAATTTTATTCTTATTCACAGCCCCACTCTATGCCTTAATCCTCACTACAACAAACAAAGCACTTTATAGGCATTAAAGTGAAAGCGACTTCGTGTTAAAACAAAGTAGAGTATACCTTGCAAGCAGGCGGGAGGAGCCCTTTGAAACAGCAATTCTCAACATAAGGTCCAGGGAAAGCTTGGGTCCCCAAAAACCCTTTCAGGGGTCAGGGAGGTCAAAACTACTTTCACTACAATCCTAACACATGATTTGCCCTTTCCCCTTCATCTTCTTATGAACATAGAGTGGAGTTTTCCAGAAGGTACATGACACACCATATGGCATTTGATGGCCTGCATAAGCGGTAAGAGAATCCAGCAAATTTCTATTGTAATGAGCATACTGTTGTTTGGGTTTTTAAAGTTTTATTTAGTTTGAGAGAGAGAGAGAGAGAGAGCATGAGTGGGAGAGAGGCAGAGAGACAGAGGATCCCAAGCGGGCTCCGCACTCCCAGCGTGGAGCCCGAGGCGGGGGTTCGAACTCACGAACCCTGAGATCCTGACCTGAGCTGAAGTCGGTCGCCCAACCAACCGATCCACCCAGGTGCCCCTACGATCGTTTGTGTGTGTGTGTGTGTGTGTGTGTGTGTGTGTGTGTGTGTGTTTAAAGCGTTAAGTAAACACTTGGCATTTCTCAGTTTGGGCTTCGCATTCTGTCAACACTGCTCAGCGTAACTCACATGATAAGATGTTAAAACTTCACTTTTCTGACTGCGTAATTCTTACACACGATACAAAATTGCAAAGCCACAAAGGGGCATGTGGTGTAAAGTTTCCCCCACGTCCTCCCACCCCATGCTGCACTTCAGTCTGCTCCCCCAAAAGGCACCCGGGGAATGGCGTCCCTACTGTCTGTCTGTCCGTCTGTCTGTCCCTCCAAGAGGTAATTATTAACATTACTTCTCCATTAGGGGAGTATTTTCTTGTCATGACAAATTACGTCACCAATGTGAATGGAAAGCCACCACAGGCGAGCAGCAGTGGTCCCAACAGAGTAGAGAGAAAACCACCTTCTGAGAACACGGGGGCTCCCCAGGGCCACCTCCTCCTTGATGTTGGGGAAAACCTGAAGTCTGTGTGTTTTTGTTTTTGTTTTTGTTTTTTTAAATTGTAGGGTTTTCCTGATACACGTTGTCATCCAATCTTTGGCACCAGCTTCAAGCACGGGCTCCTGAGAACGCAGTCAGGCACGCGGCGTGGCAGCAGTGTTAGGGGAGGTGGGAGACTCAGTGCCTTTGGACTTGGCCGGAAACCCTGAGCAAACTGGCTTCAACAGGAGGCGGCGGTCCCACTCACCGGGTGAGAGGTCCTGGGGGCTGGAGCTCTGCACTGAAAGCTCTTTCCTGCCTCTGAAATGAATGCCCCTTAGTCATCCGACTGGTTTGCTTTGGCACAGTTCTCTCTCTCCCCTCTTTCAGGTCCCACCAGGTGTTTGGGGCTTCCGTGATCCCCATCACGTAAGGGCCAGGGGAGGCAGGAGAGCCCTGGACTTTTCGTCTATGGTAGCGAGTGTTACCACTCTGCTCCCTCTGATGCGCCAAGTCACTGTCCAGGGCTGATCCCTCCCTGCTGGTCAAGTGAAGCCTCTTGGCTGGGCTCCAGGGGTGTTGTTATGGAGTTATGCGACTCCCTGTGATAGAAGACAAAATCGGCTTGACGGGGCAATTTACAAGACCGGGATCGGCAGGTGGAGACTCAAGGCTCCCATCTCTTGGCATCATGTGGAGTGAGGTGCTTGGGCCTGGGAGGCTTCCGCCAGCCCTGCCTTGTTTTTCCTCTTTATGTGGTGAGAGAGAGGTACCTTAGCAGGTGGAAATCGGACTTTGGGTTCAGGCACCAAGCCGACTCAGCGTGGGTGCCCAGGGTTCAGGGGAGCGTAGGGAAGGCCCCGGCCCAGCCTCTGGATCCCTGGGGACTGTGAGAAGCTGCAGCTCCCACTGATGGAGTCCCCCCGCCCCCACCATGAGAAGCCCTACTGGGTCAGCCCCTCCCACTGGGGTGAGGACAGGGTTGGGTCCCAGCTGGCCTGTTACCTGGCAACCGAGAAGGTCATTTTTGGACAATCCCACCTGTCCCTCCCCTGACTAAAAAGCTGGGCTATTGGGATCCAAACCTTGGGTGCCTTCTGAGATTCCCTGAACCACTTCTTTCTCTCTCTTGACCAGTGTCCTCATGAGCTCTGGGGCATCCGTTTTTGGACTTGGAGAAGACAGCACGAAGAGAGGCATACGGCCTGGCTTCCGGAGCAGCCAGCAAGGAACCAAGTAACGTAATCCATGAATTCAGGAGGGGTAATGCCCAGGGGGTGGGCCTTTTACCCACAGGAAACAGGAGACAGGAGTGAGCTGGGCAAGTACAGTTTCTCCTCTGTCCCCCTCCCCCAGGGTGCAGATTCCCCTTTAACCCCTGCATCCTGCAGAGAACATTGCAGCCAGGAAAACCGGCTGCGGCTGCGGAGAGAGCACTGGGCCTCTTGAGGTTCCTTCCGAAGTGGTGGCCTGCTTGGTGACACGGTGCATCGCCTCACATGGCATCGCCCTTTGCCACCACCCCTGCTTTCCCTCGTTCTCACCTCTCTAGGCTGCGCCTCCAAATATATCATTCGTATCCCAATCCTTGTGCAGGTTTCTTCTCTCTAGAGGGCCCGGGCTGAGACAGTGGGTGTGCCCGACCTCCCCCTACCCCCCACCCCCGGGGCGAGGCTTGTGATAGCCAAGCAGACACTAAGGGAATTACACTTGCCTCCTTACCAAACTATGACAGTAACCCCAGCAATGTCAGTTCCATTGCCATCCCATTTTTATGGTAAGGAAATTGAGGTTTACAGGGGTCAAGTCACTTGCTGGAGGCCACACAGCCGCAGAGCTGGGCGCGCTCCCAGGACTCGGTGTAATTCTAAGGCCAGTCTGGCCAGCACTGCACCCAGATCCTCCTCCTATGTAGGCCACGACCTACTTATCCCAGCACCTGAGACGGCGATTGTGTGCTTCATGGCTGGTATCAGAGGGGAACCTGCGGGGCCTATCCCCTGGTTCCAGGCTCTGCCCCCCGACAAGGGGCCCTAGTAGGGGGGCCCAGGGAACCTCGGAAGATATGGGTGGAGTCGTCAGGTAAAAAGAAACGCGAGGTCTTACCAGCTCCTTTCTCAGCCACTCCAGGGTCTGCCCAAGACTTGGGGTTGGCTCTTCTGTCTCCATCCCAGTGTCCTTGGAGGAGACCTTGATACTGACCCGGTGATGGGCCCGAGGGGCCTTTGATTTGTACAGTCTCCTACCTGCTTCAAGCAGGGAGCAGGGTCTGCCTCAGTCACTGAGGATGGAGTTAACGAGAGCAGGAAGTGGCTTACGTTGGAAAATGTGGCTGGTTTTTTTTTTTTTTTTTTTTTTTTTTAAAGGGCTTCAGTGCTCTGAACGGTATAAGGAGGGAAGGAAGGAGACCACTGGGGTATGGGCACCTCAGTGCCCAGTGGTTCCGGAATCCAAGGTCTGACGCCAAGAGGATCAGAGTGACTGTAAAGCTTTAAATAATGACAATTATTACTATACGATTAATGATTAATTAATAATTATGAGACTAGGTGGCTCTTTCTGAAGGCTGGGTTTGCTCTGAGTGCTTTATTTATATCTGATCCCATTTGGGGCGGATAGTGCATCCATGTCCCTAATCCCCTCCCTCCGTCCTCACCTCTCCACAGAGTCTCGATAAAGGGACATCTTCACTTTCCAGGTCCCCTTGCTCCTGGGGTGTCCTTGCCCCCATTTCTAGAAAAGGAGATCAAAGCGGAAATTTGCGGTTAGACTTCTAAGAAAACTTATCTTCCCGATAAAAGGAAAAATGTCAATGAAGCTCCCCCTTTACTCCTACTGTCTTCTCCTTCCTTCAGCCTGGAACGTGGATGTGATGCCTGGAGCTACGGGAATCGTCTTGATACCTAAGACAGAGACCAAAAAAATCGTGGAGACATTAGAAACCACTGAGCCACAGAATCACCAACAGCATCTGCCTATTATGTGAGATGATAAAACCTCCTTTTTAATTGGGCAAACACAGGCCAACAGATACACCATTTATTCTTCACAACATACTGTGAAGTGGGTATACTTTAGTTGTTTCTTTCAACAAACACGTATTGACATTACTACGTGCCAAGTTCTGCTCTCGGCTTTGGGGATATGTCCCCGAATCAAATGTCCTGGAGGACATCATAGTGGATAGAGAAAACAGTGATCACATTGATATTATGATGAAAATACACAGGATCTATGCCTACATAGAGTTTAAAATAACTTATTCTGTCCACATGAATGAGGTACCCCAAACTAAGAATTAACATGGCAGTCCCAGATAAAGAGCAGAGGGGACCAGCGAAACTCATTTCAGGGGGACTTGTCCTCAAGCCAGGCTGCACAATCTGTCCACAAAGCTTCCCTCCAGAGGACTTCAGAATTCAGAATTACGAGACGCACAAGGAAACCGTCAACCATAAGTGAGAGTCAGCAGACGCCATCGACAGCAGGGTTAGGCCCCTCTTTTCCGAGCAACTTCAAAGGAAGACAACGACAAAGTATTTTGCAAGGAATTAAATTCGTACAAGAAAGAATAAAAACATAAGGGAAAAGCACCGTTAAAAAGGCAGACTCGGGGCACCTGGGTGGCTCAGTTGGTTAAGTGTCCGACTCTTGATTTTGGCTCAGGTCATGAGCCAAATGAATAAACATTAACAATAAATAAACATTTTTTTAAAAAAGGCAGATTCAAAAAAGAACTAAATAGAATTTATAGAAGCAAAAATGAAAGCAAACGTGTATAAATGAAAGAAAAAAAGAGTGTACCTTTGGAGTAGTCCCAGAAGACAGAGCGAGGGTAGTGAGTACAGGACCTAGGGAGGCAGCCTGGGACTCCGTGGGAGGAAACTTCTGCACAGAATACTGCCAAGCTGGCATTCAGTGGAGTGCCCAGGGCAGCCTGGATGCTGAGGGAAGGGGAGGAGCTCCACTGGCTTGGAGGTGGGACCTGGGGCTCCTTCCAAGCATGAGATGGACCAGACAAGAAAGGGTGGCCATTCAGGAAGCCAGGACACCTGGGTTGTAACCCCAGCTCTACCAAACTTTGTGTGTGAACTTGGACCTCATCCTTTCCATCTTAGGTATAATGAGATTCAAAGTAGTTACTAAATTGAGTTGTAAGAAATGTCACATTTCTTGTGCCCTGGGGTTTACAGCCTGAGATGCATTCTGCCACACGCAGAACAGACTTTGGGTGCAATTTCTCCTGGTTCCGTGGTCACTCTTTAGCACCAGAGAGGGTCCAAGAAACTCTTGTCTGCCACGTTGGCCAGAAACAATTTCTTCCAGGCTGTGTGTCACATGACCCTGTAGTGCCCCCAGCCGGAGGCAGCCATCTGCAGATGGGACAGGACGGGGTGGTTTGTGGGTCACGGTGTGAAAGGAGCTGAGTCCAGGGTGGTGACCAAATGACCCAATCAGATCTTCTCTCTGAGAAGGTGAATTTGCAAAGATGGAGAATCCAAAACTGAATTGTGTAACAAAGCTCTCCAAAACTCCATCCCTTCAAACAGCAGTCATTTATTTTCGCTCTTGAGTTTGTGGGTCGACTGGGATGGTCTGCGGACCTGCAGCCCCGAGCCCGCTTTGTGGAATCACTGGGTTACTGGGCCATGTTTTCCTCTTGGCAATGGCAAAGGGTAAGAGGGCAGGTGGAACCATACAAAGCCTCGTAAAGCCTAGACTCGAGACTGCCACCGTTTTCTTTGCCACGTGCCACTGGACAAAGGGAATCACCTGGCCAAGCTCAAGGTTAAGAGGCAGGGATGTGCACTCCACCTACAAAGAGATCCTGGCAAGCATGTGGAGTTAGGGAGGAGTGGAGAAGAGGGAGCGCCAATTCTAGACCAGGAAGGAAGTTAGTTCAGGCGGGGGGCCCTGGACCTTGGTGGGGGGGCCCAGAGGGAAGGTGGCAAGCAGAAACCAGGAAGTGGCAGGAACTGGAGGCAGAAAGAATTGCTGTGGCAGTGGCAGGAGACACGGAAAGAACCAGAGAGACGGTGATTTCGGAATGACGGTTGAAGGATAATCTAGGACCACCAACATTTATTGACCTTCTGCTCTAGACCAGGCATCACGCTAAGCCCTTGACATACAGAACTCCGTTTCATCCTCAAAATCTTATGGCCGCAGTTCCCAAACCATGTGCCAAGGCACCCCAAGGGACTGCAGAATACTCACGGAGGCACTGCGAAATATTTTTAAATTTTGAGGGAGATACAAAAACCTCTAGTGGCTACTGGACAAGCTACTATTAAGGTGTTTGAACCTAAATGTTTAACAAACAGCCCTTAGGTATTTCTTTGAGGCTGGCACACTGTGAAGAAAATACTGAGCATTGGGGCGCCTGGGTGGCTCAGTCGGTTAAGCGTCTGACTTCGGCTCTGGTCACGATCTCGCGGTTCGTGAGTTCGAACCCCGCATCGGGCTCTGGGACGCCAGCTCGGGGCCTGGAGCCTGCTTCGGATTCTGTGTCTCCCTCTGTCTGCCCCTCCCCTGCTCATGTTCTCTCTCTCTCTCTCTCTCTCAAGAATAAACAAACATTAAAAAAATTTTTAAAAATTACTGAGATGCTAAGGGTGCTGTGAACTTCGGCCTATAAGGTCGGTACCATTGTTCTCTGCACTTCATAGTTGGTCATAGATAGATCCTATCATCAACCTCTTTTACCGATGAGGAAACTGAGGCTCCAAGTGGCATGGATTTTTCTAGGATCAACCAAGCAGGTGAACAACAGGGCTGGAACGAGAACCTGTCCTCCCTGACCTGCATGGGAGGATCTTGCTTGATGTTACAAAGTAGTGGGGGGGGGGTCGTGCAGGGGCTCAAGCCAGGCCACGTTCTGTCCCCCTGGGCAAGCCCGGTGGCTTCTCCGCCCGACACAGTAGTGGTGTTGCTAGGAGCTCTTGGCACTTAGAATCTCACGCTCCGTCCTTGGCCTTTAGCACTGATGCCTCATCACCCTGGAAAGCCATTTCTCGTGGTTAACTCGTTTTGATGCATTTTCATTGATTTTTAATCCCACTCTCAAGATGCTGGCTCATAGCACATTTTACTTCACAGACGCAGCAAGGCTTGGCACACAGGGATAAGTCTGGTGGAGCCGGGAGGCCCGGAAAGGGAGAAGCTTAAATCCCGGAGGGGGGTGGGGTGGGGTGGGGAAAGGTCCTCACCAAATAAAAAAGCCAGAATGGCCATCCATTCATCATCCATGGGCAGCTAATAACATGGCTTCCATGTGCCAAACCCTCCACTGGGTGCCGTGGGTATATAGTGGTGAGCAAGAAAGACCACGCACGTGACCTCTGGGGCTTATAAGGTCCATTAGCAATCAGATGGTCCGAAAATTGTTCTTTATACTACAAGAATGGCATAGATATAGATGTAGATATAGATATAAATTAGGTACATAGATACAGAGGATATAGACATAGATAGATATAGATATAGATGATATATAGATGATATAGATATAGATATAGATATAGATATAGATATAGATATAGATAGACATTGAATGAATGAATGAGTTTGCAGATGAAGAACTGCTCCACTGGAAATGTGAATTGCCCATGCAAGTCAGCAACTATGGCAAAGCAGGGTGTCCCTCAATATCCCTTCTTCCGTTCACACATGGCAAAACACTACATTCCCAGACTCCCTTGCAAGTGTAAATGCGGCCACGTGACTCAATCCTGGCGGATCGGACAGGAATGGAACCGATGGGTACAATCTCTGGGCTGTGCCCTTAAGAAGAAGGCGGAGATGTTTCCGATTCTGTGTCTCCCTCTCTCTCTGCCCCTCCCCCGTTCATGCTCTGTCTCTCTCTGTCCCAAAAATAAATAAACATTGAAAAAAATTTAAAAAAAAAAAAAAGAAGAAGGCGGAGGAAGCTTCCTGCCCCCTCCCCTTGTCCTCCTTCTGCGGATTGGACGAAGTGAGTAGTCGGAAGGGCTGGAGGTGGAGCAGCCATCTTGGACCACAAGGTAGGAGATGGCAGAGCGACAAGATAGAAGGAAGCTGGGTCTCTTGTGATTGGTGAAGCCACCAGCCAGCCTTGACTGCCAAGTGCACTTTATTTTTTTTTTATTTTTTTTTTCAACGTTTATTTATTTTTGGGGGGACAGAGAGAGACAGAGCATGAACGCGGGAGGGGCAGAGAGAGAGGGAGACACAGAATCGGAAACAGGCTCCAGGCTCCGAGCCATCAGCCCAGAGCCTGACGCGGGGCTCGAACTCACGGACCGCGAGATCGTGACCTGAGCTGAAGTCGGACGCTTAACCGACTGCGCCACCCAGGCGCCCCACTGCCAAGTGCACTTTAACATGAGAGAGAAATCAGGTCATGATTGTTTCGGGTCTCTTTATTACAGGAGTTAAGCCAGTGTCCTATAAATACAGCAGCAGAAGCCGGGCCCTTGATTTCCCCTCCGTCACGTCCTTTCCACAATCTCCTCCCACCTATGTGTTTTAGTTTCTCACACACGTTTTCTTGGCCATGACCTGATCTGCTCCTCTGTGATGTTCGCAAGCACGTGCGAGCATGCCAACCACAGGGAGCACAAGAATGGAGTACAGCTGGCTTGGGGGGCCCGACACCCCCTCTCCTTCTGTGGCCGCGTGTCCCCTTCCAGCAGGCCCCCACTTGGGCCCAGACAAACAAGACCGGTAATCCATCACTTGTCTGCTGCCTGCGCCCTGTATCTCTGCATTCGTAGGTCCCGGAGCCCGGGCCCGGCACCCCGCGTCCTGTAGCGAATGCTCCCCGAGCCGTGTCCATATCCTCTCAACACCCACCTTCTCCGTATGTGTCCAGGCCTCCTACCGCAAAGCACGCCTGACCCTCTTGCTTCGGAAACGTGCTTGACCTGTGCGGAGGACCTGTACGGACCGGAGCACGGGAACAGCCCTCCGCAACGACAAGCCACGGTCAGTGGGTAGAGACCTCCCTTCCCTCGGCGCTCGGGAATCCAGCTGGACTGAGAGCCTCAGCTGCCCACAGCGCTCACAGGCTCGTCGATGCACCTGCAGCGTGTTAGAAGCCTTCCCTTCTCTCTCGCTTTCCCATTCCATCTGCTGCGCCCCCTGGGACCACCTCCCGAATAAGCCCCTTGCCCTCAAAGTCCTGTCTCAGGTCTGCTTCTCAGGGAACTGAGGCCACAATACGTCCTATCCTCGGGTGCCCTGTACACCTGGGTCCCGTGCATCTCTTTCTGAGCACACCTGTGCTGCCCTTGAGTGTCCTATGCATGGTATACTAGCCCCTGGTACACAAGTGCCCCGTATACGTGTGCCTTACACACACCTGTCCCATGTCCAGGCATCACAGTCCTACATCCCTACCTCCTAGGTCAGGGGAGTGTGGCCCCTGCCCCCAACGAGGTGGTGGGGACTCGAGTGAAGCAGAATGAGACAGGGGGAAGAAGGCCCCCTTGACCCCAGCGGGCCTTGGGGGCGACTCGGATGCAAGTTGCCTGGTTCTTCCGAGCCCCGGTTCCCTCTCCTGGTGAATAAGCTCCAGCTCTAAGCTGTCCTGGGACCAGGGAAGATGACCCAGCATGGGGACTGGTGGCACGCAGGAGGTACTCCATCAAGGCCCCCCCTCCTTTCTTCCTGGGCCCACCTTCTCCCGAGGGGTGCTTTAAATGCCGTTAACCCAGTGCCTCCAGCGCCCGGAGCCTGTGCTGCCCTGGGGAGAAGGACCCGTGGATGAGAGAAGACGAGGTCCCTGTCCTCACGGAGCTGCCAGGTGGAGGGGCTCGCTTTTGCAGAGCCTGGGGATAGGACTCTCCATTCCTCTTCTTTTTTTCTCTCCAGAGCAGGGAGAAATCACAGCACCTAGGTTTTTCACTCCCCAAGGCCGGGAGCTCCAGACTGACCAGGTGGAGAGGAAGGAAAAGAGGGCCGAGGTGGCTGAAGAGGTAGGGGTGTGTGTGTGTGTGTGTGTGCGCGCGCGCGCGCTCTCTCTCCAGGGCCTGATGCATACACGGCCACCACCTCATTTCCTCCGGTCCCTGAACCGTGTCCCATTACCGTGATATCAGAGCCACTCCCTAAAAGCATCAGAGCTCCAGGAAAACCAGGTGAGCCAGGATGGTACCAGAGGGTAAATATAAAACGAGTGAGCCAACCCAAACACCAGAACTCAGCAAGATGCCCAGAGACGGACGAAAGTGAGTGCGGTAGGGCACAGTAGGATGTGGCTGGAACTTGAGGTCTATCTGAGGTCCCCAAATCAATCTGGAAGTCAGTGGTTCTGGTTGTACTTCTGCTAACCCTCAGTGTGGCCATAGGACAACCTTTTTTCTCTTTGGCCACTCATGTATTTTCTTTCTTTTTTTTTTTTAATTTTTTTTAATGTTTGTTCATTTTTGAGAGACAGAGTGTTAGCGGGGGGGGGGGGGGTGGCGGGGGGAGGGGAGCAGAGAGACAGGGAGACACAGAATCCAAAGCAGGCTCCAGGCTCCCAGTGGTCAGCACAGAGCCCAATGCAGGGCTTGAACCCACGAACCGCGAGATCATGACCTGAGCCGAAGTCGGACGCCCAACCGACTGAGCCACCCAGGCGCCCCCACTCATGTACTTTCTTCTGAATTTTTGCCTACTACCTCTACATTGATTTACTTATACTGTGTATGTCTTTAAACTGACCATATTAGAGAGGAATGGTTCCTCTGACAGAAAATCCCAACTAATAGTGTTTACATAAGATAGGGGTTTATTTCTCTCACAAATAAAAGTTTGGGAAACTATTCCATGATCATCTGGGATCCAGATTCCTTCAATTTTGTTGCTTCTCCATCCTAATGTGCTTCCACCTCATGGTGCAAGGTGGCTGCACAAGCTCCAGCTATCAGGTCTGCATCCCGGCAGCAGGAACAACAAAAGAAGAGAAGGAGGGCATATCCACTTCCTTTGAGAACACTTAATACATGGAGTGCCTGTGTGGCTCAGTCAGTTAAGGGTCTGACTTTTGATTTTGGCTCAGGTTGTGAGATCAAGGCTGGCATCAGGCTCTGCTCTGGGTGTGGAGCCTGCTTAATATTCTCTCCCTTTCTCTCCCTCTCTCTCTCTCTCCCTCTCTCTCTCTCTCCCTCTCTCTCTCTCTGCCTCTCTCCCTCGGCCCCTCCCCCACTTGCACATGGGCACGCTCTCTCTCTCTCTCTCAACCCCTGCCCACCCCCCACAATACATTTTGCCCACACACTACCTCCTCTGATAGTCTAATGGCTTAGTGTCCATTTGGTCACATCTAACTGCAAGGGAGGCTGGGAAATGGAATCCTTATTCAAAGGGCACTGTGCCAGGTAGTAATCAAGGGTTCTATCCCAGTGGGAGAAAGGGAGAGTAAATATTAGAGGAAACCAGGAGACTACGTTGCCCCGACTTTTATAGAGACTCATATTTTCTTCTGTTTCACTCTAAGCTACATTATCCACAATATCGCTGGTTTCATGAACTAGTTATATATTTTCTAAAACACATTAAAATAAATACCTCGCCATACACACACACACACACGCACGCGCGCGCACACACACACAGATATATGTGTATAGATATAGATACACTCTAGAGGTGCGAGACTGTTACCATCCCGGTGATCTGTGCCTGTTGGTATTCATACCCTTATGTACACCCCTCCCCTCGACTCTGGACTAGACTGTCACCTGCACTAAAGCAACAGAATACAGCAGAAGTGACAGTGTGCCTGTTTCAACCCTCAGCTTTAAGAAGCTCCAACAGCTTCTTCTTTCGTACCCGGGGGAGAGTCGAGGGCCATTATCAAATCTCTGACCACCTTGAGACCGCCATTGTGTGAGGAAGCCCAAGCTAATTATCTGGCGACCACGTGGAAGAGAACAGAACAATCCAGCTGACAGCTGACAGTGAGAACCAAGCCCCACGTACGTGGTGATGTCTGAGTGTTTCCGGCTACCTCCCAGCTGTCTGGACCACTCCAGCTGACGCAGAATTGAGCTGTCCCTGCTGAGCCCAGCCCAAAACTGAGCAAATAAATAGTGGTTTTCTTTTAAGCTGTTAAGTTTTGGGATGGTTTGTTATGCAGCAATATATAACTAAAACACATTTATCTATAGAACACCTAAAATCATGTTATGCATCATTGCTCTTTTGGAAAATTCTGGATTAAGTGATGCTCTAATGTTCTAGAAGAGCGCACACTCTCTCTCAGACTCAGATATCACCAGATAGATGCACAAACAGGAAATTGATCGGAGATTGTGGCATGCCAACACGACCACAATAATCTCCCAAAGGGTCTCTGTTTCTCTCTTGTCCCACCTGGGAGTAGCTGAAGAGAGAACGTTTTTAAAATGCAGATCTGATCACAGCACTCTCCTGCTTACCACTCACGGCAGTGTGCAGAAGGGGTCTCCTCAGGTCTGACTACACACTCAGATTCCACAGATGACCACAAGCCACACCTGACGTTGACCTACTCTGAAGGATACAGGACAGGAACCTTAGCTTGCTAGCGAGGCACTCGAAGAATGCTAGCACCAGGCACTTCTGTCAGTGGGGGCCTCATGGGAGCCAACACCTTTGCACCTGCCGGATGATACGAGTCACCGTCCTCAGGAAGCCCAAAGTACAATTTGCCACCAAGTAGTTATCATTCCTTTCAGTCCAGATGTAGTTTACCAATCTCTCTTCCTGTTTTAATTTAAATTATTGTTTAAACAATTTTTTTAACGTTTAGTTTATTTTTCAGACAGAGAGAGACAGAGCATGAGCGGGGGAGGGGCAGAGAGAGAGGGGGACACAGAATCCGAAGCAGGCTCCAGGCTCCGAGCTGTCAGCACACAGCCCGACACGGGGCTCGAACTCACAGAGGGTGAGCCAAAGTCAGATGCTCGACTGACTGAGCCACCCAGGAGCCCCTTAAATTATTTTTTTAGAACAATTGTAGATTTATAGAAAAACTGGGAAGGTAGTATAGAGAGTTCCCATATATCTGGCGCCCAGTTTCCCTATTATTAACGTCTCACATTAGTACAGGACACTGGTTACAATGAATGAACCAATACATTATTAGTAGCTAATGTCCATACTTACTCAGAGTTCCTTAGTGTTCACCAGTGTCCTTTTTCTGGCCAGGATACCACACGACATGTCTCTTTAGGCTCCTCTTGGCTGTGACAGTTCCTCAGGCTTTCCTTGTTTTGGATGACCTTGACAGTCCTGAGAAGTGGTCAGGCATTCTGCAGAATGTGCCTCAACTGGGATTTGTCTGATGTTTATCTCATAAGTAGACTGGGGTTGTGGGTCTGGGGAGGAAGAACACTGAGGTAAAGTGCCATTCCCATGACATCGTATCAAGGGTACATGCTATCAACACAACGGGCTGATGTTGACCTTGATCATGCGGCTGAGGTAGTCAGTTGGTCATGCTTCTCCCCTGTAAAGTTACCCCCTCTTCCCACCGTGCTCCCTGAAAAGTCACTATGCTCAGCTTACACTTCACTGGGGAGTTATGTTCCCCCTCCTTGGGGATGAAGTATCTATACATTTGGAATTCTGTGTGGGAGATGGATCTCTTCTCCCCTCCCCCTTTTTGTTTTCGTCGGTCATACTTCAGGTTTATAATCGAGTACTGCCTTATTTTATTTGTTCAAAATTGTCCAGCTTTTGAAAGCTCTTTCAGCTGCTCCCTGTATCCTTTGACACACCCCATCGACGTGTGTGTGTGTGTGTGTGTGTGTGTGTGTGTGTGTGTGTGTTTATGTATTGCGTGCTTTTTGTATTGAAGGACTTCCTTACTTCCTGGCACTCTAACGCACCCCATGCTCATCTTGCGTATGTCCTGTTCCAGTCCCAGAATCAGCTGTCTCTCCCTGGTTCCTTATGTTGGTGAACGGTATTGGAGACCAAATCTGGGGACCACATGTGCTCACTGCTGTGCGCTATCACTGTCCAGGCACCTGTTTACCTACCTGGGTGCATACACATATTTATAAGCATTTCTACATGGAATCTTCTGCATCTAAGTTAAGCTAAACAGGAATTCCTCCTGATAGCTCCAATTCTAATCAATTACCATATGGATCGTTCCAGCCTCTTCCTCAGGGGTCATTTTTATCATAGCGATGTTGCCTAGTAACATAGTGGACATATGTTTATCTGTTTCCAAGGAAACAGAGCTAGATAGTTAACCAAAGGTCAAATTCTCCTGCAAAAGAGGAAAAGGTTTTGTTAACCCTTTACTCACACGGATCAGTGGCTCTCACTGCTTGGAGGGTGAGAACAAGCTTTGGCCCGCGAGTGAGCGAGCGAGCGAGTGGGCGCTGCAGTGACCTGGCTTGCTGATGGTCCGGAGTAGATAAATGCTATGGAGAAAAATTCAGAGTTAAGGAGTAAAGGGAGCTGGGACACTGCTAGTTTTTTAAATGTTTATTTATTTATTTTATTTTTATTAAAAAAATTTTTTTTTAATGTTTGCTTATTTTTGAGACAGAGAGAGAGAGAGCATGAACGGGGGAGGGGCAGAGAGAGAGGGAGACACAGAATCCGAAGCAGGCTCCGGGCTCCGAGCCGTCAGCACAGAGCCCAACGCGGGGCTCGAACTCACAGTCCGTGAGATCATGACCTGAGCCGAAGTCGGATGCTTAACCAACTGAGCCACCCAGGCGCCCCTATTTATGTCTTTTAGAGAGAGTGGGGAGAGGGGGAGAGGTGGGGTGGGAGGGGGAATCCCAAGCAGCCTCCACACTCAGCATGGAGCCCAATGCGGGGCTCGATCCCATGACCCAGACCCTGGGATCGTGACCTAGGCTGAAATCAAGAGTCGGATGCTCAAGCGACTGAGCCACCCAGGCGCCCCGGCACTGCTAGTTTTTAAAGGATGGTCTGGGCAGGTGTCTCTGAGAAGGTGACATCTGACCAAAGACTTGAAAGACGTCGGGGAGTGAGCTCTGGGGATGTCAGGCAGCAGAGTGTCCCGGGGAAGAAGGAATGGTAAAGGCAAAGGCTCTGAGGCAGGACTGTGCATGACCACGGGAGGGGACCACGGGTGTTTTATAGGGAGGTCTTTATGGGGAGGTCCGACACCACAGCTGGCTTCCCCTCAAAGTCCCGAATGAGAGGCCAGGCCTGTGAGGTCGGGGAGACACTGAACCCTCTTCATTCCTGAGGTCCCACCCAGGTCTCCACCACACCAGCCTCCAAGGCCCAGGCACCCAGCTTCCAGGGCGGCCTCTGCAGTCCTGGCTGGCTATGGACCGCACGGGCCTTTGGAGCAGGACAGGTCAGGCTCTCCCACGAGGTGGCTGTGGCGCCAGGACAGGGTAACCTATCTGCCGGTCCTTCTAGGTGGTGGCCCCCAGCTGATCTTCTGGAAGCTCCTACAGCCTGCATTTTTATCCTGCATTTTTAGGATCCCACCCACAGGTAAACGCTGAGGCTCACAGAGGTGAGAGGTCCTAGCTGAGGACAGGCAAGTGAGCTGGCCTCAGTCTTCCTGGGGATCCATGATCTTCAGCCGGAACTCGGGTCTTGTTCCCAACCTCCAGGAACCGAGAGTGTCACTTTCACTTTTGTGCTCTGGGTACCTCACTCGATCCCACTTGAACCCGATTCCCCTTTAATCTGGGCCCTGTAAAGGAAAGAAACACTGAGAGCCTCACCCGTGTTTCATCCACGCACACTGTGCTGAGCTCTGGGGGAATCGGGGAATCAGACAGGGGCCCCGACTTCCAGGGGCGGCCAGTCTGATGAGAGAGGCTGGCACGGAGAGGAAATAACTCTTTTTTTTTTTAATATTATTTTTGAGAGAGACAGAGCACAAGTGGGGGAAAGGCAGAGAGACAGGGAGACACAGAATCCGAAGCAGCCTCCGGGCTCCGAGCTGTCAGCACAGAGCCCGACGCGGGGCTCGAACTCACAAACCGCGAGATCATGACCTGAGCCGAAGTCGGACGCTTAACCGACTGAGCCATCCAGGAGGGAGTAACTCCTCAGAGATCAGGCAAAGCGCCAGTCCAGCTGGAGGGTCCCGAGGTAGGCTTCCCAGGGGAGGAGGCACTACAGCTGGGCCTTGGAGGGTGACGGTGTGTGTGGCCCTTGGTAATTCCCCAAGAGAACACCTACCTTGGACTGTGCACCCCGCTGTCCCACAGAGAAAGAACAGGGAAAGGGGAGGGGGGAGGTTCGTCGGAAGCTTCCTTTCAGCCTTCAGGTGGCGCCCTTGAGCCACGGAGCCGCACGCGCCTGGGAAGACTGTCCCGACCTGAGGACCCAGGAGAGGACCCGGGTCCCACCTGGGGGCTGTGCGTGTGGGTGGGGGGCGGGGGCGAAGGGAGCGAAGGGGCTCTGCGCGGTAGGGGCTCCCCGGCGTGGGCGTGGGCGGGGGCGGGGGGGGGGGGAGGGCCGGGGGGGGGGGGGGGGGTCTCCCCCAGCACCCACCCCCGCGCCCCGCCCCTGCACCCGTCCCCGCGGGCTCCAAGCTTCGATTCCCCGAGCCCGGGCGCCGGCGGAACACATAAGCCCTCCGGGGACAGGGAGGGGGCTGGAGCCTGATCCCCCGTCGGCCCGACACCCAGCCTGCTACCCGCCTCCCGGTCCCTCCCCGCGCTAACTCTCCGGGCGCCCGCGCCGGCCGCGGGCGGAGCTGGATCGGCGGCTCTCCGAGCTCCCCGGCCCCCGCCCCTGCCCCTCCCTCCCCGGAGCCTCCAGCGGCCGCCGCCGTAGAGCCCCGCGCGGCGCGAGCAGGTACGTGCGCCTCGGCAGCGGCTCCGGGCCGGGCCGGGCCGGGGAGGGGGCGGGAGCCGGGGAG